GGACATGCTTTCTCCATTATCCACAAGGCTCACTCCTTTTGTTTCAAATCTTTGCCCAAATGTCACCTTCTTTTCTATTTAAAATTGCGAAGTATCCCCTCCATCCCTCATTTTAAGCCATAGCATTTACCACCATCTGACATATTTTGTTTCACCTGTCCCACCATATTCAATTCCCCATATATAATTTCAATGAGGGCATAAAGGATATCTAATGAAGAAACAGGAAAGTTGTACATACAAGCCCAGCACAAATGAATCACATTTTGCAGAGATCTGTGTCCTGCATGTGTTTCTATACCTTTAGTTCAGCAATACAAAGATGTAAAACATGTCATAATTATAGACTAAGACTGAAGGACCTTACAATGTGGTCTTCTTAGCTAATCTCTCCTCCCCTTCCTCCCACAAGTGGAGGCTGGATGGCCTTTTACACCTGACACAAGCTTTACTATTAGAAGTGAAGAGGAAAACACATACATACAGGATGCCTGCTCTGCTAAATATGATTTTACACCATTAATGATGTTAATTCTAAAATAGCAAAGACTTAAAATCATAGCAGAAAGGAGAAACCCCCAAAGTCTTACCTCAAGATTCACCATAACGAAATTATGGGAAAGTTCTGAAATTTCTGTAGATTCTGCAAATTTGGGCTTTAAAGCTAGGAGGGAAAAAAAGAGTTTAAAATATAAGAAAACATCATTTTCATACCCAAACCTTAATTTGCAGAGTTGATTCAAATAACTGAACTCTTTTTTGTTTTAAACTCTTAAGAACCAGAAATCAGGACACCTGAATTCTGGCTGTGTTTCTGCTACTTACTCACACAGGTAGGTCACCTGGAGTGAATGACTTTATTTCTCTGAAACTTTTACTTCATTTATAAAATATAGATAATGGCATATAAATGAAAAAATTATTTCTATTTACTTTTTATAGCCACGTCAGTAACTTCTATTGAAATAACAGAAAACACAGTAACATTACCGTGTGTGTGTGTGTGTGTGTATTTTATATATATATA